TTGGGGGGGGGATCCTTTGCTGAAGTTGTGTGTTTTGCTGAAACTCAAGACCAGTTTTCTCTAGTAGGTTATTGGTGCTTTCTTGCATTCGCTGTCATTCCTGAATCCGGGTTGTGATATGGGAGGCATTTCTGGACTTCAGTATTTTCCATCTTCTTGGACTTCTCAGACTCCTCCCTTCCGAGGGCAGGTGTCCCCAGGAGAAGCTCGGCAGGGACTCTGCGCTGTGCGGCGGGGCGCCCTGCTGCCGCTCGGACGCCGCGGCGGGACCTTCGCTTCAGGTTGGAGATGTTTTCCGAGGTTGAACCGCCGGGGCTGTCGCTTCCCGCCCAGGTTTTGTGTGGGCCTTTCGTGGGAGAGCGCCGGCCACAGGACCCTACAGTCTCTTCGCCAGGAAGAACTTCTCCCGGTTCTACCTCAGCCCTTCCCACATCGTTTTACTAATTTCCGATCAGCAGAAGCAGCGGTCAAGGGTCCAGTTCCCCCCTCCCGGCGTTCACAGGAGGCAAAGGGCAGACACGCTCCCTTCCCCAGCTCTCCTCCGAGACTGGGCTCTTCCGCGCTTCTGGACATTCCCTCGTCTTCCTTGACTTTCTACTTAGCCGCCCGCGGGACCTCTCTTTTATAACATTAGTGTGAACCTAGCCGGCCTCTGGGTTCCGCCAAGTGGGCCCCAGTAATCAGCAGAAGTGGAGGTATTTAAACAGGTCATCTAGACAATTCAAGCAAACACACTCTGGAGAGGTTTTTGGCCTGAAACACCTGCATAATTCTCGTTACCCCTTACTCTTTTTCTGAGAGCACCAGCAAGGAACTAGCTTCCTGTGGCTACATTTGAGTATCCCGATATTTGACGTTGATATATTTGAGGGGAAACAATATCCATCCCAGACCTCTGAATTTTAGTATATTTAGCTGAGATTTCATTTGCTTTTCTTTCATGAGTGACCCCGAATTCAGTGGATGTCCCTCCCATTTAAAATAAGTATCCAAACGGGTTGGCCTGTTCGGAGTCAAGGGTGAGCCCAGGGCAGGTGGTCACACGGCCGGCGAGGGAGAAAGCTGGAACTTGCAGACAGGTGCGTTGTTCGTAGGCTCAAAGAATGTTGAGGGGCGCACTGCCTTTCCTACCCCCACCTTTTAGTCTCGTATGCAGTCTCACAATTTGCCAAATCACTTTATTTTTTAGTTAAAATGCAAATCATTCGCTTTCAAACACAGGCCCTTCCCCCCCCCCCCCCCAAGTATGTGTACTGTGTAGAAGTGGGACCCGGGCGTTGAGACCACGTGCTGTTACACTTTCCACTCCTGGCGGGTGGCTTATAAATGTCCACCTTTATTAGATTATGGACAGAGAAGCCTGAGAGCTAAAGGTTTCTGAAGGAAGAGTAAGTCCTGACTCTCCAGGGTGTTTGTAAGCGGGGTGTAAGACCTCGGCCCGAACCCCGCTTCCCGCTTCAGCACACAGATCAGCACTTCCAGGGCTCGGCTCTCTCGAGGGTGGTTTAGGCCTCTCAGGGCCAGGGCCACCTCACCCAGGGAGTGACGGGGGCAACCCTGCCCCACCCCTCGGAGGATGCCCCTGCCTCTCCCGGCTGCCAGCTGTGGACAGACAGAATGGATCGAGGATCTGCAGCACCAGGCCGGAGGCACTGGCCTTCCTTCAGCGCCGCGCACTGTGTCGGGAACACACGCCGACCCACGCGGGATTCCGGCACCTGGGGCTCACTTCCGGAAACTGAGGAACATAGAGCCCAGAATTTTTTTTTTATTGTCACCATAGAGAACAATGCTGTTATTTTAAATTCGCAATGCGAATAAAAGCAAAGGACGGAGACTTCTTACACGCAGGGTTGCCAAGTATTTAGCAATCGGCCAGTCCCTGTCTCTTGTCCCGGCCCCAGCGTATATCAGATACTAAATTTACAATAAGAAAACGTTCGATTCCTCCCTGGGTCATAATACTTACATGAAATAAAGAGGGGGGTCGCTTTTTGAAACTGGAATCTTTGGGGATCACTAGCCTCCTTCGCTTTCCATTCCTACCTAGAACTCGAGAATGCGGTGTCCTCGGCTTGTGAGGAAGTTGCTCGTGGCCCCGGCGCGGGGTCCTGGCGGGAGACTCTGCGCCACCGCAGTGCGGGAGTCTCCCAGGGCGAGGTGAGAAAAGGTTTCGTTTGCAACGAAGTGAGAGGCAGAGGGATCCCAGCACACAGGCCAGGGCCAGTCTGCCACGCACCACCCTCCTACTGCAACCTCCAGCCGAAGTGTCAGGGCGCTGGGTTTTACACCCATAGCCCAGCAAAGTATCCTTGCGGGAAAATGCAGATGGTCCCTACAGGAACTCTCTTCTTGCCCGACTCAGCATAATTCTCGCAGATGGAGGACTTCACCTTCTCCCAGGTCAGATGGAAGGTCTTATTGAAGTGATGGATTTAGCCCAGTCTGGAAGTTAATAAAGAAAGGTGGAGAGGGAAGAGGGAGACCAAATAAGAGTAACATGTTTAAATATCAGAAGTGAATAATAAAAGTGGCAAAATATAAACAAAGAAAATTAAAAAAAAAAACCCTCCCAGCTTTTTGTGTTCGGACTCATGTGAGTGCTTTGGCACTTAGAGACAAGCTCCATCCATGGGTGGTGCCGCTCAAGTTTTATTCTGGAGCAATTTGTTTCTGTTTTGTTTTGTTTTGTTTTGTTTTTGTAAATCAAGTTTGGACTTGATAATCTCATCCAAATTGCTGTAGTGACTACCCCCCTACGGTGCGCCACTTTAACATCCTGAAAAGCAAAATACCTGCAAGAGTCTTCCTCCTCACAAAGCTCTTACACGGCAGAAATTTCAAGGCCCGCCAGGGATGGGAGAGATTGGGAGGGAACGAGGAAACCACCCTCCAGCTCCTACCCCTGGGCGTCCATCCCATCGCCACCGCCCACAAGGGAGGACATCTTCATCTTCCCAAACAACCCTGCAGCTGAGGGCATGGGCTAGTTTCAGAGACGCCTACCCAGATACTTCAGTGTCTAAAAACGGCTCCTCAATTTTGGTGATTCTGCCCTCGTGTAAACTCAAAACAAATAATAATAGTCAAAAGGGAGAAAAGTTTTTTTTTTAAGCTCACTGCTCTCAAGTCTAAATATCACACGAGAGATAAGTATTTCCATTAAGCTGATTCTGTTCCCAACGAATTATGTGAAACTATGAATGTTAACGATCGAGAGGGAACTCAGAAATGAAAAGGAAAAGAGAAAGCGGAAGGTGGCAAAGATGGAAGAGGACGCTCCTTCGGCCTACAAGGGGATTAAGGACATCTATAGGCTTAAGGAGCAACAAATTAATTTGCACAATTCTGGGAGAGCCCAGATGGCCTTTAATTAATCCCTTCAAAAGAAGGAGCTAGGCCAGGGCTGCGCCGGCTGCCTGCTCCATTAGCTCCGTTTTACTAGGGACCAGACTCTGCTCGTGGTGAGGCGCCGCGAGCGCGTGGGGGAAGGGGATAGGGCGACGGGAACCGGAGAAGGGGGAGGCACGGGAGCACTATGAACTGTGTTTCCATAAAAGGGTTGGGTTTTCATTATTCTTCTCTTTAAAAAGTAATACCCTCTTCATCTCTGCTCCCCCCACCCCCAGCTTTCCCATTTTATTTAGCACAATTAATCCAGGAGTCCACCGGCAGCCCCTACGGAACTGCACCACTAGCCAGGCCCCGCCCCCTGGACCCACCCACGGGGCGGAGGGAAGTGGGAGGGGCGGAGACCTGGCGGGCGCGGCTTCACCTCTCGCCGCTTCAGCCAATCAGAAGGCGCGGCGCTCCGAGGCGGACGCGCCCCAGAAGGAACGCGAGGCCGGAGGCTGAGCGCTATTGGAGCCGGTGGTTACGCCCCCCGCCTGCACCGCACTCGTCGGCCCCGCCCCTCTTGGGTGCTTTGGAGTGACGTCCCCCAAAGTTCTTATTTTGGACCCCCACTACCCCCGCCCTCTGGTCCCCCCTCTAAAGAGCGGTAGGGAGTGATGCAAATGTTTTATTACCTTTGAGAGCTTCATCGGAACTGTCAGGCCCGGAGGGAGAGAGCCGAGGAGAGAGAGCGGAGGCCGGCGCAGAGGGTCGGCGGGGCCGGCGGACAGGGCTTAGGAGAGCGGAGCCGGGTCTAAAGCCGCGGAGAAAATGCGGGAGAGGAGAGGCAGGAGCGGCGAGTGAGAGGACGCCGGGGGGTGGGGCGGGGTCGCCGGGCCGCTGTGCTGAAGTGGACTGTCCAGCGGAGCCGTAACCCAAGTCGTCAGACTTCTCACACTTAGTCTTTGTTTTTCTGTATTTTTCTCCCCCTTTTTCTTTACAATATTGCAACTCTAGTGCCCCGTCGCGCGAGGGGAGCCGTGGAGACTGGTGGCGCTGCCGCTTCTGGCCGGCGGAGGAAGCGCCCAGAGGCGAGGTCCGCCCGCGGGCTGGTTGCGCTCGGGCGAGCGCCGAGAGCGCCGCGGCCTCGCGACCGAAGGAGCGGGGCTTCCGAGGGAGATTAGAGGAGCTCCTCGGGCGGAACCCGGCGTCCTTTGAACGTCTCTAACGAAAGCCAGCCCGCCCCCAACATCGAAGTGCCTATTTGGTGACTCTTAACTTTGTTACAAACTCTCTGGGGCCGGCGTGGGTTTGTTTTGCTTATTTCCCGGGGGGAGAAGCTGAGAAGTAGCGCGCTTTGAGCGGCGGGGCAAAGTGAGGAAGAGCGAAGAGACCGCGACAGAGTCCAGGAGTGGACGGACAGCCAAACCCGCCCGGACGCCCGCAGGTCTCGGAGAGCCGCCGCCTCTCGAGTGGCGCGTTTGTTCGTTTCGTTAGCGCAGCTCCGAGAGCAACTCTCGGCGGCAGCGTTCTCGGCCCAGCGGGCAGGTCGCCTCCGGGTGCGTGGAGCGGCTCCTCGCTCGCGCCCTCTGCGCTTCTGCCTCCCCTGAGCCCCGCCGGGGGCACCGGCCGGCGCCCTCGCTTCGTGGCTGCGGGCTGCGGCCCGGCCGTGGGATGTTAGCGGTGGGGGCGATGGAGGGCACTCGGCAGAGCGCGTTCCTGCTCAGCAGCCCGCCCCTGGCCGCCCTCCACAGCATGGCCGAAATGAAGACCCCGCTCTACCCCGCCGCGTACCCCCCGCTGCCCGCCGGTCCCCCCTCCTCTTCCTCCTCCTCCTCCTCCTCGTCGTCGCCCTCCCCGCCTTTGGGCGCCCACAACCCGGGCGGCCTGAAGCCCCCGGCCGCGGGGGGGCTCTCTTCCCTGGGCAGCCCCCCGCAGCAGCTCTCGGCCGCCACCCCACACGGCATCAACGACATCCTGAGCCGGCCCTCCATGCCCGTGGGCTCAGGGGCCGCCTTGCCCTCCGCCTCGCCCTCGGGTTCCTCCTCCTCCTCCTCTTCCTCGTCCACCTCCGCTTCTTCAGCTTCCGCCGCGGCGGCTGCAGCGGCTGCAGCTGCGGCCGCCGCCTCGTCCCCAGCGGGGCTGCTGGCCGGCCTGCCCCGCTTCAGCAGCCTGAGCCCGCCGCCGCCGCCGCCCGGGCTCTACTTCAGCCCCAGTGCCGCAGCCGTGGCCGCCGTGGGCCGGTACCCCAAGCCACTAGCCGAGCTGCCCGGCCGGACGCCCATCTTCTGGCCGGGAGTGATGCAGAGTCCGCCCTGGAGGGACGCGCGCCTGGCCTGCACCCCTCGTGAGTACGATCGCCCGCGCCCAGTAGAGCGCATTTTGCCAGCTCTCGGGTCAGGACCTCTGGTGGTTGAGAATCGGTCCTCGCTCTCGCCTCCCCAGTAGTTTGGCAACGCCAGGACCGCACAGTTTAGGCTGCCAGGCCAGGGTATCCAGCCAGGGACTCTCTCCTTCCTGAGCTCCCGCGCTTGCGTCCAAGCGCCTGCCTCTCCCGCAGCCTTGGGCACGCCTCGCGGAGAGGGTGAGCACGCGTCCGCGTGCAGCGCACCGCGGTGCGGGGCGTGTGTGTGTGTGTGTGTGTGTGTGTGTGTGTGTGTGTGTATCGTCTGAGGCCCGGGTTGCTCCGGGAACAGCTCGGCCGGAACCTCAGGCCAGCCCTGGGTTAAAGAGGTGGGAGTGCAGGACAGGCCACTGAGCTCCACCTGCACCCCTACTTTCCCCGCTCCTGCCTGTTGTCCAGGCCTCCACTCCGCCTTCGCCATTCTTACTGGTTTCTTCTATGGGGACCGGTGGGCACCGGTGGGGACCGGCAGCCGCGAGCCCTCCACAGCCGTGAGCCGAGGCGCGTGTATTTGCACGTACATCTCAGCCCAGGGTGTCCCCACCTCACTTCTTCGTCCCTACTCCCCCCAGTACACTCGGCCGGCATGAACCCGTTGAAGACAGGCCCATGGCCTGCGGAAGAGGGTAAGCGCACCCTCACTTCGGGCCGCTCTCCACCGCTTGTCCCTCGCTTTTCCCCACCCGCCTTGGCCCCAGAGGGTTGCTACTCCTTGGGCCCACGCATAGCGAAGGGTGTGGTGTCCCTCTTCGAGCTAACACAAGAAAGAACCCGAGGAGAAAAGAGATGACGGGACAAGGACCAGGGGAATGCAACACCTCGCAGGAACCTTGCTCGAGACCAACTCGGTTGCCCCAGGATCCCTCCAGTCTGTGTAGTTGGCAACCACGCCCTGGAGTTTCCCAGCCTCTCAGGTGGTGTCCAGGGCCGAGCCCCGGGTCCTTTTCTCGCTCAGTTCTTTGCTTTTAACCGAGTCCCCTAAGTTTCCTGTACGTCTGCCGACTGCTTTCGTGTAGCTGAGCGGCGCTAACCGAGAGAAGTTTCGGGAGCCAGCGGAGGCTCCCGTGGGAAGCCGGGGAGGAGGGCGGCCCGCGCGGGTGAGGGTGCGGGGACGCTATTGTGCGCGTTTTTTGCTGGCCATGTTGGGGCCGCCAACAAAGGCGGCGCCTCCTCCCGCTCAGCCCAGCGGCGTTGGACTTGCGGAAGGTTTCGCTCGCTTGTATGCAAAAACCAAGGCGCCCATTGTTGTGCGGACACAGGTTAGGGAAGCGTTCAAGGCAAGAAAGTAGTCATCCTCACGCCAAGGGTCCGGGCCCAGCGGCCTTTCCCCGCGCCCCTCTCTGCTCACTGGGGCCTGACTGCTGGGCTTCTGGAAACTTCAGCGACGTGGTGCCCGACTACCTGACACAGGTGTTAGGCAGAAGGTTATTTACTGTTGCTCCAAACACACCCAGCTTTCGAAGCACAGGTCGCATCAAAAGGCAGCAAGGCGCGGTGGGACTGGAAGCGCCTCGACACTTTTAGAGCCCGCCGCCGAATAAGCTTTTCTTTCCCACCAAACATTTGTTTTGTGAGTTAGTTTCGTTTTGGTGGAGCCGCTTGCAACCGATTGTTTTTCCGCTGCCTTTGTTTATTTGTCCTCGCAGATCAAGGATCCATTTTGTTGGACAAAGACGGGAAGAGAAAACACACGAGACCTACGTTCTCCGGCCAGCAGATCTTCGCCCTGGAGAAGACTTTCGAGCAAACGAAATACTTGGCGGGGCCCGAGAGGGCTCGCTTGGCCTACTCTTTGGGGATGACGGAGAGTCAGGTCAAGGTGAGTGGATCTCGCAGCTCAGGGGTTAGTGCTCCTCCCCTCGTCTGACAAACAACTTCTTGAGGTGCGAGTCTGAGGGGTCTGCGGAGCAGGTGGGGTCAGTGAAGGGCGAGCGGTAAAGGCTCTGGGATCTCCGGGCCGGGCAAACTGTTGCTGAACAAAAGGAATAAAGCCCCCTCCTTTGAAATTAGGTTAATCTAGATAGCAGCATGTGCTGGGGAAACCCATGATTATTAGAGAGTAAAAAGCATTACCGAAATATCAGCCCCGACAATAGATAAGACCAGTTAGATAGCTTATATTTATTCTATTTGTAAAGATATTCAGGCTTTTGTTTGGTAATTCAGGCTTCACTAATTATATAATTTCCTGATGTAGTTTAGCTAATCATTATAATGCTACTGTATAGTAACTTGCAGGTTTAAAAACATAAATCCACAGGATGTAACAACCACTTAGCATGGATGAATCTGCTTTTAGTTTAGCTGAAGACAATCACTTTCGCATAGTAATTTTTAAAATGAATTGATAGGATTATTGCCTTATTACGCAATTGAATTCTTTTAAATAAGTTTATCAATACATGTAAGATATTTTACTGTTTACAACAACTTAAATTTAAAATGTCACTTAGGTTATAATTGAGTTGTATAGCATATTTCCAGGGATTCAAATTTTAGAAATCCTTTCTTGAAAAATAAAGGGATCCAGCTAGGTTAATTAAATCTAGTGGCTTCTTATATTTCCAATATTTTCTTTTGATCCTCTTTTTCATTCATTGTATTTGGGTTTTGGGGTGTGTGTTTGTATATGTCTGTTTTCATTAGTAATGTTGTTGCTCTTTAAGTAGGAGTAACTGTTAGCTGTGCCTGCTGGTTAGAGTGTGTTTCCCCTCGGACACACATCATGAAATACACTTCAGGAGTGATTTTGTGTGTGACCACTAGGACACCATCACAGTTAGAATTATTTTTGCAACGACTGGTACAGAGCCTGCCACTGTGATCTGGAGGTCTTCATTTGTCACTGTGAATATGTCCGCATGGCTTGAAGTGAATTATTATAGCTGTATAAGGAAAATCAAAATCATTTTCATAACAATCTGATGATTCTCTAGTTAAATATATAATGAATGAGAAAATGGCTGAGAAGCATAAAGAGAGGATCATACAATATGTTTGGCTGTTCATTGCTGATGCTTTAAATATGTATATCAAGTATGGTGTCAAACATGGTGAATAGGTTTAAAATGTTTTTATATAAAATAAATGCATTGGGGAAGAACAATGTTAAAATAATATTTCAAAGACTAGGCATGTTAATAGTGGGAAGTAATGTAACTGGCAACATTTTATTTAAAAAAAATAACTGATGAAAGCTCTAACCTTGACTTTCATTTTATGCAAAACATTAAACCAGACACACACACACTCCACTGTGATGATTTTGACTGAACTATTAAATGTTCATGCATTTATGTTGGCTTATTATTAGTGATTTGAGGTTTCAGTTTTAGCAAATTAAAAAAAACTACATGATTGCTAGTGTAAATGGGGAGTTTTTTTTTTTTTAACTAACATGTTTGTGTATATTCAGACCTGAGACAAGTGAAACAGACACAGATCCAAAAGTGAAGGGGAGAAGGGAGGTAAGAGGGGGAGGACAAATGCTCTGCCTTGTCCCACAAATCACACTAGAGTGCCAGCACACTTAGGTTATTTGGAATATCTTAATCTAAGAAAGTAAATAACGAATAAAATCACAGTCATTATGGGACAGCTCTGAAAGGAGAAAACTTTTCCACTTTAAACTAGAAAGTAAGAAAGTGCACTTATTTTTAGGGACATTCATTTTACATTTCCAAGTTTTTTCTCTTCTGAGAAATGGCTCACAGACAACCTTAATACAGTTGTGTTAGTATCGCCATGGCAACAGCAGTCCGTTTGTTGGCGCGCCTGACTCAGAGGAACCTGGGGCTTTTGAGACTGACTTTGACGGCTCAGACCTGCAAGATCTTTGAGGGAGGGTGCAAGCCATCAGGGGCCCCGCAGGAGCGTCCGCGCGGGATATGGGAGAAGTAGCACTGCTTGGATCTGCTCATTTTAAATTCCTGCCGCCTTTGTTTCCCCTCTCCTCCCCGGGATCGGCCCGCAGGTCTGGTTCCAGAACCGCCGGACCAAGTGGAGGAAGAAGCACGCGGCGGAGATGGCCACCGCCAAGAAGAAGCAAGACTCGGAGACTGAGCGGCTCAAGGGGGCTTCGGAGAACGAGGAGGAGGACGACGACTACAACAAGCCCTTGGATCCCAACTCGGACGACGAGAAAATCACGCAGCTGCTGAAGAAGCACAAGTCCGGGGGCGGTGGCCTCCTGCTGCACGGGTCCGAGACGGACGGCGCGTCCTGAGAGCCACGGCCCTGCTGCCGCCGGGGCCGTGGGGCCGCGAGTTCGCGAGCCCTGCCTTCCCGCCCCGCCTGCGGGGCCCTTTGCTATTTTGAGATGTACATATCTATTTTTTTAACCTAGAAGTTGAGGGAGGAGGGGAGGAGAGACTCGGGGTTGGTGAGAAGGCAGAAAAGACAACGAAATGCGATGCGTCAAGAACGCAACTGAAGCTAGCATCTGGACCCCTCTCCCAGGCCCGCTGGGTACCCTGACCCCGCACCCCGCACCCCGCGGTGGGAGCGGCCTCCATCCCTGCCCACTCACGTGTCCAGGCCCCAGCGCTTGGCAGGGACGGGGGTGGGGGCTCAGGGAAGGCTTTTCGAAGGATGGACATCCACTGTGCTGGGGACCTCGGAGCTAGGCGTGCGGGCAGCCGCCTCAGATGGGAAGAGGGACGTTTCTCTCTCCCCTACAAACTGCTGTGTGGACTAAAGTAACCTGTTGAAGGCCCTTTGTAAATAAATCGTGAGTCACACTGACTAGAAATTACTTTATTGTTAATATTTAAAATGTAAAACGCTTTTTTGGAATTTGGTATAAAAAGATGGACATCCTTCCTTCTCTCTATCCCTTTTAAGAGCTGTTCAAACCACACGTTCCCCTTTTATTTTGAACGTCATTGGAGAAGCATAGAAAAGAATATCCTCAGCTTCCCTCTGCAGCTACTCTGCCGGGTTTGGGTTTTTAGTATCTCATTTCCCCCTCGTCCCTTCTCGATTTTCCCGACCACCCCTGGTCCCCCTCCCGCCTCCAGCCTCTTTGCCTCCAGGACTTAAAGTAGAAGACGTGGAACTAGGAAAGGGGGTTCCTCTCTGAAATTGCACAGTCGTTTGTTGCTATTTATTAGTGATTTAAAGAAAGTATTGGGAAGGGAGGGGCTACATAGCTTGTATTTAATTTAACTCCTTTCTGATAAAAATGCGTGTTAAAGTAGATGGTGGGAATCGTTACAACTGCTCTGGGTCAGAAACATAAAAATCCATTTAGTTGCTATAATTGAATTTGAAGTGTTTTGTATGATAAGAATACTACAGACTATGTAAATTGTTTTCTTTTTAAAGCTGATAACGGTGATATATTAGCATCTTTAATTTTTATTAATTTATATAAGAAATTTGGTTTGTAAAGAGAAAAGACACCCCTCCCCCGCAAGACCAGTTAAATGTAATGCACTTTGTTTCAAAGGATAAATCAAATTAAAAAAATGTTTGAAGATGTCTGTTGCCTTGAATGAAAGGGTACAGATAATCTGATCTCATCAGAGATTTCAAATAAAAGTCAAGACCACAAAAATCTTACACTGGTTTCTTGGATAAAAATAGTTGCATTGTTGTTGTTGTTGTTGTTATTATTATTATTATTAAAGACTGGCATCATATCTCTCATTCTCTTGGATTGGTAAGTGGGAAATGCAGACTCACTCATAGGGCTTCTTGTAGAAACTTGTCTCAAACACTGATCTGATGTCTGTGTTGTCTAATTTTTTTCCTGATGGCTTTTTCTTTTGCAAGGAAGTCCCTGGGGAGTTTTGGGAAGACCTCATTTCCATATATCCAAGGTAGCTCCTCAGGCAAGCCTAGATCTCTTAGCTTAGAGGAGGCAGCGAAGCTTGATGACCCAGCAGCAACTGCTGTTTGATGCTAACATTTTGCAAGCTATAGCTTGCAATAATGCAGAAGTTGGAAAGACAGGAACTCTGATTTTGCTAACCATTACAATTACAAAGGATGAATTTAAAGAAAGCTTCTTCTAACTAATGTGAAAGCTGTAGGACTAAGGAAGCAATACAAAGTCTTCTACAGATAAATTTGCATAAGAGAGAGAGAGAAAGAGAGAGAGAGAGAGAGAGAACTAGGAATCCCAGGGAGAGGGAGGTATCACTTTCTTGGGATCCTTAGTTTTTAGACCCTCAATTTTAAGTTCAGTGAAATATAGTTACTTCTTTAGTGTTTCAGGTTAATGAGCTTGTGTTCAAAGACAGAAAAATCAATAGAACTCAGTAGATTCTTCAGGCTAGTGTTCAGTAAAGTGTGGACCTGTTTTGTTCATCTTGAAAATAATTTTTAAAAACATTGTAAAAACTTGGAATAAAATCATGAAAACTGAGAATGAAACTGCCTGAAGGAAATTATTGTAAAATATATTCCTGATGGCATTGTTTAGTGGAAATAAAGGATGCAAATCTTCCTTATTTCTGTTCTCTAGGTTACCTGTAAAGTTCCCAATAAACAGACTTTAAAATTTCTGTGTTCTTAGCAAGACTAAAGTCTGTGCCCTATAGAGAGGCTATTTCAAAAGAGGCTTTGCTCTGCTGCGGTGATATAATTTAAATCTTAGCTGTGAATGTTAAGAACTAATTTCCTTCCTTCCTTTATTCCTCCTTTCTTCTCCTCTCTTCCTGTCCTCCTCTCTCCCTCTCTCTATGAAAGAATCTGGGAAAGAGCAAGTTTACCAGCCTGATATTTCACTTTAATTTTATTAATTTGCCAAAAATGGAAGTCTTTCATTTACTTTATTAACTTTCACTCACCTTTCTTCTGCTTTGAAAAGCCAAATGACTTTTTTTTTTAATTTCACAATGTAATTGTGAAAAATTCACAATGTAGTTAGGAATGCTACTTTTGGAATAATAACTATTATTACTATAATTGTTGTTAGCAGTAATATAGTAGTGTCATTCATAGAAAACTTGGAACTGAGATTAAAGCTTTTTCTCAAGTAAATAAAGTTAGAGTATTTATTTCAAGTTAGAAATGTGCAACAACACCTCTTCTGATTCCTTTAGTAAAAATTCCCTCTGTACTGTTCACCTTTACCTTTAGATACATATCTGAGGAATATAAATGCTGGTGCCCTGGCCTCCACCCTGCAGGCCAGTACACAGAGGGCAGACAGAGTCTGCATGATTGCCAGTCTGGGCACTGAAGTGCTCTGAGTTGTGTGGGCAGCAGCCTGAGTTGGGCTCTGGGACCATACTGCACTGGCATTCACTCCTTTTTTCCAGTTGACTGCAGCAGTGACTTGAGGTTTCCAGTTAATTTACTTCCACCCAGGATTCCAGCTGGCCACCAGTTGCAGCTGGCCCCATAAAACTGGGAGTGAGGTAGAAGTGGGTGGGAGATACTTTTCTTAGGTGTCCCTTTATCCTGGTTGGTTTGGTTTAGTTCTGAAGGATGTTTTTCACAAGAGTTAGCATGATGGGGAAGCTGAGGAAACATTGTATGTAGCTCAAGTAAGGGAGAGTAAGAATCATTTTTCATTTTGGCTCAAAATTTTTATGGCATTAACCAGCCATAAGCATATGATTAAGGCTGTCAGCCAGTCTTTATAGATAAAGGGGTCATAATTTTAAAACAAAAAAAATAACAGCAAATGACCCGATGGACCACTGCTTTCATTTTTAATTTTTTTGAGTTTTAAAGTATAATTGATATAACATTGTATTAGTTCAAGATGTACCGCATAATGATTTGATATATTATGTGTATGTATTGTGAAATGATTATCACAATAAGTTTAGTTAACAGCTATAAATTTTTCTTTATAATGAGAACTTTAAAGATCTACTCTCTTAGGAAATTTCTAATATATGTACAGTATTGTTAACTATAGTGACAATCCTACACAAGACATCACCAGATAATTTGTACCTTTTCACCACCTTTACCGATTCAAGCCCCCTCGCACTCAACCATTACTTTAAAAAATACTTACAGGCAGCAAAATGTCAACACGGAAAACAAAAGGGGAAAAACAAGATGTGTGTGTGTGTGATGAAGGAAGGGTAAAAATGCCTGTTTTTTAATTTTTAATTTTTGTTTTACTGTGTGTGTGTATATCTTTCCTAAAAAGGAGGTTGGGTGAGGACTGTAGAGTAAAAGGAAAGGGCCATGTGTGTGTGTCTCTTGCCTGGCCCAGCAGCATTCACAATGTGCAGCTTCCTACTCTGATGTCTTCCCAGACCCCACAGTCCAAGCTCAGTTCTAATTGGTGGTTAACCTTTTCTTTGGTTGACATTCAGAGGATCCTGAAACTTAAAGCTATACACCTTCTTTCCCAGAAGCTGTGGTTTATCGAGCATCTTTCCAAGCTTGTAAACACTATAATCTATGTCCCTTTACCTTTCTGGGAGACAGTGGGAAGAGGAGCAACTGAAAATTACTCATTCTTCTCTGGAAAAAGAAGAAATGTGTATTTTTTCATTGCTCAGTGTGTAAGCAGTTTGGACTGAAGGCCAACTCTTCTTGGAAATACTATCCTAGACAATGGAGTCTGAAAGTGCATTTTAAACCATTTAGAGTTTGATATCAGGTATTTGAGAATGTTATTAGATCAGTACCAACTTGAGTAGATTCACACTGGCCTGTCCTTTAAGTTGGTCATCATCTGGGAGGGACATGCACACACACAAGAGAGGTGAAATTCTGCTTGGGAGCGCCTAGAACTAATAGCTTAAAGACACTGTGACTTATTTTGTAGTCACTGACAATAGGATCATATAATAACAACAGAAGTTGTAGATTTCATCTATATACTCTATTTTAGGCTAATTTGAATAGCTTTCTCTGCACTAGATTTCGTCCTTCTTAATGCACACACAAATACTCCAAAAAAGTACTCCTCCCTTCCACAGTGTGACTCTTTTTGAAAGGCCAGTTTCTCAGTACATTTCCTTTATTGACAAGAAATTGTGCATCTTGTTCTCTAGTATTTGCACTGAGATCTTAACATAGAAATTCATTCTCCCTGTAGTCCTTCTTAAGATCTGCAGAAAACAATAATATAACCCCCCCTCCAAATAAATGTAAAGCTTGACTGGAAAATGGAGTGATGATGTGAGCAAGATGACCAAAGAGATGGGGTATTTCCCTGAATTTTAGCCTTTGGCATTCCATGGATTGACTGCAAGTTTAACTGAGAGTCTCAGTTCACTCTTGTCTTCCATGTTGGTCCAATAGATCAAAAACCCCAAGATGAAATGTCTAGATATGCATCATGTGTTCTCCACCTCAACCAGACATTTCCATGGAATATTATACTTAAAGATTTTAAAAGTAGAGCATACTGTCTTTGTAGTGTTATTTATTCTAAAAGTTATTCTAAAATTGAGTTGACATACAATATTAGATTAGTTTCAGCTGTACAACATAGTGGTTAGATATTTATATACCTTACAAAGTGATATACCTGATAAATCTAGTACCCATGTGACACCATAACATAGTTATTACAATATTATTGACTATATTCTCTGTGCTGAACTTCACATTTCCATGACTATTTTTATTACTGCAATATGTACTTCTTAATACATTTTACCTTTTCATCCATCTCTTTAACTCCCACCCTCCCCATCAGTCTGTCAACAATCAATTTGTTCTCTGTATCTGTGAGTTTGTTTCTGTTTTGCTTGTTTGTTCATTTTATTTTTTGTTGTGTTTGACATATAAGTGAAATTGTATTTCTGTGGATTTAGTATCTTCTGGAGCCTGACCAGAATTCTGAAGTACAAGCCTCATCCAGAGCTTCTATTTTAGTATACTTTGCATGATCATGGCTAGTTGGGGGGAAGATATATTCAAAGATGGATCCCTCCTTCATTCTAGGGAAAGAGTTTTTAACACATGATTTATATAGGTGCACATAATTGTCATAGAGGAGTCTACCCCCTATCTAATGCTATTGTCTATGCCTACCTTGGCAAAGCCAAAAGAAATGTCAAGTTATAATTATGTTACACATTTAGTTATTACAATGGAGACAAATATATCAAATTGAGGAGGAAAACCAACATAGTTATATAATATAGTTTTATTTTGGGAGGTACATAAGTTATGGAAAACTATCAGTTATCAATAAGTTGTTTGGGACCAATTTCTTTGTACAGACCACGGAAAGGCAAGGTTGCTGAAAATTCATTAACTTAGTTATTATCAGATGGTCTAATTGCCTTCAAACAAAGGGCATCCAATAAGTTTTCATGCCTCCAATCTGAGCCCCATATGCGGGTTTTTAGTGATTCTGCTAGTCATCGTCAACAGCTTTGACCCTTGGGCATGAAGCAGTGGCTCAGATCTTGAAAACAATTTTGTAACCTTTTCTCCTCCTTGGGTTTGTCTTCTTCCCTTTCTGTGCTGTTTACTTGGTCTGTAATGATTTGTCTAACTTTCTTCCAAAACTGAAAAGTTCCAAGTGAATGAGTAGATTTGAGAAATCTTTTGTCTTTGCCAGAATCAGGAGATCTTACAGCTTGGAGAGCAGGACTGTGGAGCCAGATTATTTGATCTATCACTGACTG